TGAAACAGTTTAAATTTTTGAATTTTAAAGGGAGAGGCGGTAAAATGGTGTGGAGAGTGAAGGGCAATAATGGAAGTAATGAAGTCAATCAAAATCGATTGATATCTAATGATTTTAAATTGAACGGTTCTGAAGAGATAGAGAATAGGGAGAGGCAAAAAAGGAAACCAGTATTTGAATCAACCCAAAGAGATTTCATAATCTTTGAAAATGAACTTGAAGGACTGGTGGTGGCTACTACGAAGGAGGCTAATTTGAGGAAACCTTTGAAGCAGGCGGTGATTGACAAGATGGGTTATGATGGTGGCTTGCAGAAGTGGATGCTATACAAGTATGGGCGCAATGTGTAAATAAGCAGGGGAGTTTTTCTCAAGAAGAAGTGTGGGTAAACTCTAATGTAGCCATGAGAGAAATACGAAGGTTCCTTCCTTACCGAAAAGCTATTGTGGAATCGAAACCTAAACCCCCAATGGCTGCAGATGGCAGAGATTGACCGAAGGATAAAATTATTGTGCTGGACTCGGAGGATGAACCAAGGGAAAGGGATGGGAAAGATGTACTGGCTATTAAGGATAAAGAGGAGAGGGTTTATACCAAAGAAATTGTGGAGTGCTCGATGCTCGATGCTGAATCAGGAACCAAAAGGGGGTGAAATAGTGGATTCTATACCACTACAAATGATTCCTGCTGGTATAAAGGAACTTCAAGCTGAACGAACGTACTGAGGTGCGGCTAGATGGTATGAAAGTTGGAATAGGGGATTCAATTGAAAGAATCATTAATGTTGTTCAAGCTTTAGAAAGCCCAGTGAAGCCAAAATTAAGGAAGAAAGATGGAGGAAAAACCGAAAACGCTGGCATTTCTCTGGTGGGGAAATCAGCAAGCTTGAGCACCAGATCTTCTGGGAGACCAAAGAGAAGCAAAGATGCTGATTTGGTGGATTCTGCTATGTCTACTAGTAGGTATACTACTAGACGTGGTTCTTCATCTTCAAAATGTTAAAGGGTCTCGTGTAACACTAGAGGTTTATACAATCTTAAAAGAAAATCAAAGCTCCTTGCTATTGGAAAAAATGAAAGCCCTGATTTCATTTTGCTTCAGGAAACTAAGATTGCAAACCCTAGTCTTTTGGTTGTTAGGTCTGTATGGGGAAGTCGTTGTGTACAATTTTGTCTTAAAAACTCTGAAGGTTTATCTGATGGTATGTGGAATATTTGGGATCCTACTATTCTAAATCTTGTATGTGTCATCTATAAATGAATGGTCCTTACCTTGTATGTTTGTGCTTGTGGTTGATGGCTCACGTATTTTAATTTCAGATGTTTATGATCCAAATGTGAATGCACTCAGACCAAATTTTTGGAAAGGTTGTGCTCTATAGTCCAAGATACTTTGATGCCTTTACTTATTGGGGGTGATTTTGATGCCATTAGATGGCCAGAGGAGTCCAGTGTGGCTCATCGTATTGATACTTATATGAGGAATTTCTCTAGTTTTATTTCGGATTCTGGTTTATTGGATTTGCCTGCAGCTGGGGCCAAGTTTACTAGGTCAAATAATTATGTATCTAACCCTATTATGACCAGGGTAGATCGGTTTTTGGCAAATGTTGGTTTGGCTGAATTGTTTTCTAGGGCAGTTGTTAGGGCTTTGCCAAAAATGTCTTTTGACCACATTCCATTGATATGGGAATGTGAATCTTGTAAGATGCTTGAGAGTTACTTAAAATTTGAAATGGCGTGGATCAAAGACAAGGTGATTAATGATTTAATAAAAGAATCATCGTTGAGGAATGAAGCAGTTGGGTGGAGTGGTTTTATAGCTTCCAAAAAAGTTCAAGGAGTTATGAAGGATTTCATTGAATGGAAGAAACATAATAACTGTAATTACAAAGTGAAAATTAGGGAAGTTTTGGATAGAATTACTGAAATTGATGTGAAGGCATGGGACACAGGTGTAATTGATGAGGAATATAGGATCTTAAGATTTAAGCTTAACAATTAATTGTATAAGTGGATTCGTGCATATGAGATGTATTGGAAGCAAAGATCTAGAGTCAGATGGCTAAAGGAAGAAGACTTGAATACTAGTTTTTCCATGTAACTGCAAGTGTTAGGAAACATATTAATAGTATTCAAGGCCTTAAGATTGATGGGGTAGCTAAAGACAATGAGGTGGGTTTGGAAAATGCTATAATTCAGCATTTTCAAGGGGCTTTAACTGCTGGATATGTGCCTCGTATTGATTTCAGTAATGTTCCATTCAGTAAATTAGAGGAAGGATGGCGCTCATGGTTAGAAGACCTTTTTCAGAAATAGAAATTAAAGAAATAATTTTCATCTTAGCAGGGGATCGAGCCCCGGGTCCAGATGGGTTTCCCCTTGGTTTTTTTAGCATTTTTGGGATAGTGTGACAGGTGAAATTATAAATATGATGAATGAATTCCATCAGAGATGGACTGCAAATGTTAGACTTAATTTTGCATTTATTCCTTTAACTCCAAAGAAGGTTGTTATAGAAAGCTTGGGGGATATTTGACCTGTTAGTCTTTTGACCAGCTTCTAACTGCTAAATGTCCTGTTGGTAGATTAAAAAGAGTTCTACCAATGGTGGTAAAGAGTTCTCAGTCAACATTCATAAAAGGTAGGCAAATCACAAATGGTATTCTTTGTGCTCAAGAAATTATTAGCTCTAGGATTATTGATAATGATGCAGGTATTATATGTAAGATTGATCTTGAAAAAGTACATATGACAAGGTGGAATGGAAAATCCTTCTACAAACTATGAAAGCCATGGGTTTTGGTGAAAGATGGCTTTTGTGGATAAACGATTGCTTGAATCCACTCATTTTTCCATTCTTATTAATAGAAAACCTAAGGTCTTTTTCTTAGTAATTCAAGAATGAGATTTCTTTCTTAGTAATTCAAGAATGAGATTTTGGCAACAATATTGGATAGGTAATATGCCTTTGAAAGCCCAGTTTCCAAATCTGTTTGCAAAGGTAACATCAAAAAGCAAAATGGTAAATGAGATGGTGGAGGGCATAGGATTCAATGCTTGCTGGAATATTAGATGCAGTTATAAGAGAGTAAGTAATCAAGTTTCAGAAAAATGCATACAATGTATAAGTATGTTACTACAGTTTTTTATAGTCCCGGTATTGATGACAAAGTGGTATGTGAACCAAGCAAAAGTGGGAAATTATCGGTTAAATCAAGTTATACACTGCTTTATTATGAA